TATTTATTTTATTTAACCTTTATTTAAGAAGGAAAAAAATTCCATTGAAATTAAAAGCCTCTTTTTCAAGGGAGTCCTGGCCAAGAGGCAGCAAAGTTACATAAAATACATTAAACATAGATACATTAAAATAAATGACAGGTACATTATAAAATAAAAAACATACCAAGTAAAACAATTACAGCTCATTGTGATATAATTACTGCTCTAAGTGGGTCGCTCTGTCAGCTAAAGGCATATTTTACCGTCTCTATAGTCCAGTTAATGATTAATCGTTACTAAATTAGTTGACAATTATTTCAATAATCGATTTCTCATGATTAATCCGATTAATTGTTTTAAGCCCATTTATGACCAACGTCAGAAAAAGTTACAGAAGTTTGTCATGCAACCAGAGAGTCGCGAGTTCAAACCCCATCTCCGTCTGTCTCATATGTTGTGACTTTGGGCTAAACACTAGTGATGGTGATCAGAGAGACTGGTGGCACCTTTCTATGGCAGCCCTGATTATAACTATGCAGGGGATAGTTGTCATGATGTTACAAATTTCTGACTCAAAAAATGCAGATAACCGAACAGAGAGACCAGGGAAAAGGTTTAACGGGTTTTATTAAAGAGGTTAAACAGAGGAAGAAGTGTTGCTCTGAACACTGCTCAACTTGGAACTGTAATGTGAGGGGAAGACAAAGCGGTTAGTTCAGGCTCAGTGGTTGTTGTATCCTTGACTCCTGTCTATGTGCTGTAGTTCCAGTGTTTGTCTGATTCGATGGAGGGCGGAACAGGTTTTACCCAGAATGCGGCTGATAGTTGGAAAACGGAGAAACTGACTGCCACTCAGATTTCCTGCGGTACTTGAACGGGTTGTAGTGGAGAATAATCCCTTTCTCAGTGGAAAGCTCAAACGATCTCTTGGGGAAAGTGGATCCAAACCTTCTGTTTGAATCCCAGCTCAGTTTGAAGCTCAGTTGATCCTTCCAGGGAGGGAAGGTCCGAGAGATCCAGTTAGCAGGACAACTTCCTGCCAAGAGGCAAAGTTAAACTCAGGTTGACAAAAACTCAGCAAGACTCAGCAAACTCAGCTTGGCTAGAGTAACTTAAACTGGCAAATACTCTGGCGTCGAGGTAGTGGCAGTCAGCAGCTTAAGAACACTCCGTTTAAAGAGGAAACCATCAGCAGGTGTGTGAGGAGGCGGACCATAACCAGGCGCCTCCTGGTGGATGAAAGGAGACAAACACAGAAAACACAGACACAAAACAGGAGTCCTGACAACAATTAAGAGTTAAAAATGTTGTTTTCGGTAAGAACAGTTCTATAATTTATAAATATTTATTTTAATTTATTTAGTAAAGTTATTTTAATGTTTTTTAGTTTTATGTGAGTAAAGATCACATGACTAGTCTAGTTGGTGGATTTGAACTGAATTGTGGGTAATCCAATGTGGCTACAGAGACACATGCCAGCATTGCAGCAACGTTACTGATCTTCTCAGGAGGAAAAGTCTATTCTGTTCTGAAAGGTTCACATTGTAACTTGTGTTGATTATTTGAAAGTTTAATGTTGATAATTTAGCAAGTAGGATCCATCTCCTGTTTAATCTAGTTTGACCAATTTTCATTGAAATCTGTGTTTTGATAGATTCATAGATTTTTTTTTGTGAACGTGCCATTGAAATGTTTTATATTCTTTATTTTTGTAGTTTTCACGGTGTCTTCAAAAAGAGAGAATAAAATGTAAAAAGACATCTGTATGATGCGTGGCCCTCCTAAAAATCAGACCTGAGTAGTTAAACTGTTTCTGTGTCCCTGTGCAGCTTCGGCTATGGTGCAGCTGGCTGCCATCCGCGCAGGAATGTATACATGAATGGATAAACATTTATGAAAGTATTACAAAGTGCTTTGGTGTCCTCAAATTGAAAAGAAGCTATATAAGTACAGACCATTAACCATTTCTCTGGATTAGTTTATATTCTGTTTCTCAGATAAACGTCAGCTTCCATAAACATTGGAGTATTCATTTCCTTTTCAGAAAGCAAATATACAAGTTCAGCCGGTGATAAAATACCTACTTACCTCCACTTCATGAACTACTGCCAGTTCTGTGAAGTAGAAAAAAAAAACACTTTACACAAGTCAAGTCAGATACAGTTTTAAAGTTGATTTTAGCCAGTAAATAAACCCAAGTTAAAAAAAAAAAAAAAAAAAGCTCTTCAAATAGTCTATGCCTAGCAGGGGTGTGAAATAAGCGCTAAACTTTTTAGTAGTGCTTCACATGATAAACTGAAGCAATAAAGAGTCGCTGCTCTTCCCCTTCATCTCTGTTTCACTCTGACCGACACACACACTCGAATAAGTAGCAGCTGATCAAGCTGAGAGCTCCTCACTGGGATGTTCGGAACAATTACCTCTGCCTCGCTGCCACTCAGGACCCCTCAGGTGAAGTCATTATTTCACCCAGAGGCTGCTCACTACCGTCACAATTAATTCACATTAACACCAGAGTTTGGGCCACCAAGGCTATTTGGATGCATGGCTCAAATTAGAAACATCTACTGGACAAGGCAAGGGCCTGGGAAATGTTCTTTGCTTTTGGGTCAGATAGAAACTACAAAGCCAAAACAGCTCATAAAGAGGAAGCTTTTACAATAAGGTTTAAAGATTGTTGAAGTTTTGGCCATAATGCTCGAGAGAATATATTGAAATTCAATGGGATTTTGTGGGTGTGAGGGACCGAGATGAAAAGCATGAGGAGTCACAGGAATTAATACAAAAATAAGGTCTTTTATTTTTAACCCAAAAAATGCATGGGTTCAAGTCATAAAAGACGCCAACCAAAAAGAGAAAATTAAACTCAAGCAAACTGTGCCCAAACTAACTGGCTGCATAAACAAACATAACTGACCTAACAAAGAGATGACACACAGCGGTAGAATATACACTGGCTAATCAGACCATTAACAGAATAGGGGTAATTCAAACTAAACAAACAACCATAAATTACAAACATTGGCAGTACAGTTAGGTTTGGCAAACAAACTAATCTACTTATATCTTAGAAAAATGAAAACAACCCAACCGCAAACAAATCCTAAGTGAAAAATGCAAAAAAAATTAGAAAAGGAAAATTTATTTCCCCCCTTTAAGCTGCACCTGATGGAACAGTCTAATTTCCCCTCCTGCATTTAGCAGATCTGAACCCTGGCTGCCATCTTTTGTCTGGCCAAACTCCTAGGCACCATAGGTAAGAAAAAGATTAGTGACAAAAACAGAAAGAGCAATGAGTGCAAACAAATACAGTGAACTAAATGTGTGCTCTTACAAATAGAACACATGCGTTTGAACTAAGAATAAAATTTTATTGCAACCTAAAGTATGTGTATGGATTAAATAAATAAAGGTGCATGTATACTCCAGACTTTAGGTGTGGCCATGGGTTTGGTCATCACAGTGGGTAAAATCAGTTTCAAGCAAATTTTAAGCATTTCAGTCATTGTTTAGGCTGTTTTAAATTCAGAAGATGATAGACTGAATAAAATTTCAGCACAAAATATTTTACATTTTTATTAAACATTTTAACTGTCAGAATAAAAATTCCTCTTTACTCAATAAACCGATATAAAATACGAGTTACCTGGTCCTAAAAACCTTAAGCAGTCCCAGACCATCACACTTACACCTCCGTTTTTCACTATCTGTTTAATGATGTCTATCAGACTCTAGGATGAATGAAATACTATTTTCTTTTACTTTTTTCCTCCCAATTACCCCAGGTTTTCTTTCTCTGATTATACCTCTTTTGTGGTCTGAAGCCGGCTATCAAGGTATCTCTGGACATTCCCGTCATGGGCAGTTCTATCCAACTGCCCCGTAGATTGGCCTTTTTCTTGGCAACGGGGTGTAGGAATTGGTGGCTGCTGATACAAGGTCTACCTCTCTTTCTTTTCCCTTTGTGGTTCACAAAAGGGATTTTCTGGTAATCTTTAAAGCGGGCTTATGAAGAGTATTTACTAACTATCTCCAGTGCCTTTGGACAATCTCTTCATCTGCTAGTTGCCGGTTTGCAGGTGCTCTTGGTTGCTTATGGTCGCTCTGACGAATCTGGAGGATGTACAGCAGAGGTGCTGAGAGGACCTCAACATTTGCATTTGTTCCACACTGCTTTTTCACAAAATTGTTCACCTCTCCCAACGCATTACTGGGCAGCAGTAGTTGACTCCATGAATTTGCTTTTCCCTTTTTGGACGTGGAGTCAAACGTAAAGGTTGTCTGCCGCTGTCCTGTTTTTTTTCCTGCATTTGGTCCTAGGTATGGGAGAGAAAGACCAAGTCATTTGTAAAGGTTTCCCAGTTGTGACCATAGTGCAAATTAAATGTTTTGCTTTCCCGTTGTGGTCTTTTTTATGACCAGCAGGAACAAAAACAATAAGAATAGCCTTCCCTAAGGTAGGCATCTGTGAGTGGATCTCCATGGGCCAGTCTCCAAATCAGTCCATCGTAGAAGTTTTGTATTTTTGCAAGTGATTTTATCAGGTGTCTGAGCAGCCTTTAGAGGGATGCCCTGTCTATGATATCAAAATCCTTTTGGTATTCAATAAAATTAATGTAAAGGCTGGAATTACACTTATGATACTGTTCTACGATGATGTTCTACGATAGTTAGTGCAGGATCCATCTTTGTACCTGCTGATCTTAAAGCTATCCATTGAGTTTGATGTCTGGTGGCTCCTCAAAGGGCTGCAGCCATCTTTGCTCCTGTCCCTCTTCACTGTGTATCTGTTCTCCATATTTGTTATTTACTAGTCTATCTGGCTAACTAAACTTTTCAGAGAGCTTTGTAGTGGTGATATAAAATTCTGTCTTTCTCTATTCTTCTTGGCTGCTTCTTCCACCTTGATGCTCTTTTTCACACTCTTCAAAAACTTCTTGATTCATGGCTTTCTCTGCTCATGTGTGACGGTCGTTAACTTTTGTTGTCTTCTCTTTTTTCTCCTTTATTATCTTTAGTGAGTCTTTCAAGATCCATTCTTTGTTGCTTTGCTTCTGTGGGCCAAAGACTTCATGGTAAGTAATCTTCATTGCATATTTTCCTGTCTTTTATTTTAATTTTATTTATATTATATGTGAAGTATTTCCCTTTCCTCCTCTGGTGTTTGTCTAATTAAATATGCAATAGTAAAAATAATGTGCTTTCACACTAATAATTAAAAACTTTACATATTTTTGTACATTCATTATACTTGAGTTATATACTAGAGAATCTGTTTTCTGTGATCATTTGTACAAACTGTATTTTTTTTATCTCTAAAAATGAATAATGCAGTCTTGTGTTGGGGAAAACCATTCATCTGTTTCCTCAGACAGTTCTCCAGGACAGACATTCACAATTCAACAGTCTTGGTCTTTCATTGAGTTGTTGTCATGGTTACCTTGATGTTTAATGGATCCCATGCTGAAGAGGAGACAGAAAGAGAGAGAGGGAGAGAGTCTCCTACGTTCTCATGCAGCTATAATTAAACATAGTTTAGTGCACGCTGGTTCAGTGGCGCTCAGCGTGATTGTGGATGAGGTTTCGGTACATCAACTCAACAAAGCTCTCACTCCGAGTCTGATACGAGTGATATGAAAACTAAAGCCCAGCATGTCATCCATTTCCACATTTCTCTTTTCTGTTTTTTAAGTTTGTTGCATCATTAAAATCGGGCTTATTTCTTGTTCATAGAACTTTACATAACTCTAGAGATTATAGACAAATTGTGGCATCTATCAGAAATGCAACAGCTTAGAAAGAAAGAAATCCGTCTTTACAAATGTTTGACTGTTAGTCTAATATTTTAAAATAAATCTAATAATCCTCATTCGAAGAGGTGGAAACTTTCTTTTTCCTCCTGCTGCCATCTGGTCGCTGTCTGACAAGCTGTAAATGAGAACAGTGGAGACAAATGACGAACAACTGATCCCCCCCCAAAAAAAAAAGTCACGGGTCTTTTTCAGTTTATTAGAAACCACAAGGACTTTTGACTGAAATCATCTGCAAGCACCCAAACAAACAACTCCGTATAGAGATTCATCTATCTACCCTGACAACCCTCAACAAACGCCAGATGACCTGTCCTTAAACTCCTGCCCACTCAAAGAGTAAACCGTGAATGAAGGAGTCTTTTTTTCCCTCTATCTCCGCTCCTTTCGTCTCCATCCAAGGTTATTAAAGAGGATCCTGAGGCACATCACTGTTTAGATGGGTGGGTGGTGGTAGTGGTGGGAGGGGGGGTATTAAGAGAACCCAAGGCTAAGATAGTCAATGGTTATATAAGAGTGGGTAGGTGCTTTGGTACACACTGTAAAACAGGTTGTGCAAAGAGTGCTTACCTGCTGTGTTGAACACATTTATTGTAGAAGGCATCAGTCATCTCAGAGAAAGACTCAAAAGTCCATCATTAGAGAAAACAAGATGAAAAAGTCTTTATTTTGAACATTTAGCCCATTATTGAAAACAAACGGAGAATTAAAACCTGCAAATGCACCAAGTTCTTGACTTTTTTTTTTGCTTTTTACAGAAATGCTCATAAGAAATGTATTTGAATGCAAAAGATTGAAATCTAAATAAAAAATTTAATAAGTGCCATTTTTTCTTGAATTAAGCAGATAAGTGAGACACTTTGCCAAAGGAATAAGACGATTTAAATTAAGAAAAGAAAAACGGCATTGTCTTAATTCTAGTGCATAATATCTAATCTTGTTTTGAGAGTAAACATATTAATTCCACTGGCAGATCATCTTCTTTACCTACACAAATTCATGGTAAATACACTTACAATACAATTTTTTTACTTTTAGATAGTCTGTGAAGTGTAGGTTAATTCTGTTCTTTTCTCAAAATGCTTTTACAGTCTGGAAAAGTAGGGAAAACAAGACTGAAGTATAGGAAATTATAGGCGTTTCATTGCTTACAGACAGCAGGTGTCTTGCTGTTCCCTCTCCTGTTGGACCTTTTCCTTTAAATGCCTTAGCTTAAAGCTTTGCTCTTTGACAAAGCTTACCATTAGATTGGCTTGAATCATCCATAGTTGTATCTATAAATATGCTGCTACAGGCTACTTGAGGACAGAAAGACCACTTTCCTTTCTCCTACTACAGTACTCTCCACTGATGTCTAATCTTTAATTATTTAATCTCCATCTGTACTCGATTGTAAAGCAGTTCTGCAGGGGCCATCAGGGGAGCTACTGGTGCCAATAACTACATTTTTATTTTGTAGAAGCTACAAATTGCCCCATGTATGTATTAATCTCCTTGACAAAACAATAAATGGACCTTAGGCTTCCAGTAGCTATAAGATTTATTTTTCATCCCATAAATGTTATTACTGGATCAGAACATATTAGTTTTCTCATAAGTTATAATTGAATGTACTTTCTTAAATAAGTCTTCTCTAGAATAGTGCTTATTGAAGAGGTACTGCCAAGATGGGGTCATAGGATTTCATACCTTGGTCAGCATCTCTGAACCTCCCCCAACAACTAAAAAATTTTAAAAACTCCTGGTTTAGAACATTTGTCAAGTTAGGAGATTTGGTCAAATGTTCAAAAGCAACAAACGGCTTATTTGTGATTAAGGTTTAAATAACAACCCTGTCAATTTGTTTGTCTCTACCCACACTCCCATCACTTATTGATCCTTTTTCTTCCACCAACTCTAATGCTTTAAAACAAAGTACCAAGGCAGTGGAGACCATCACACCTTTGGCTCGGCTCTTTTTCAGGCAGCCAATGATCTTATCTTCCTGCCTCTAACCGCTATGCTTGTGTGAGCTGCAGAGATAGCATGCCTATAAGAAGCAGCAGCTCATCAGCAATTGCCTTCGACAAAAAGCCAAACACAAGAGGAAGGGATAACAGTGTTGTGTAATCGAAGCTTTCAGAGACACCGGTTCAGTCTCGGTCTATCTTTGTTTTTATCAGACTGCCAGACGTAGGAGTAATGGGGTTGGGGAATTGATGGAGAAGATTGACTTACAATAAGAATACAGCTAAAGAATTGCTAAAAGATGATTTTCTCTACTGCTTTGATGTTTTTGCCTGAAGCTTTTTAAATTGGAAAAATATTATAGATGCAGACATGAGTCACCAAAAAGAGGATGGAGGTGACCTTTCCTAGAAACAAGAAGTAAAATTGTTTTTCCAACACCATTTCAACAACGCAAGGTTTTTAATTAACCTCTTCAAAGCAGAGCACATCTGAAACAAGCTCCAGTGAAAATAATATCAATAGGTATTTTTTTAGCATTAGGATCAAATTTTAGCTGTAACTTTCTGTAACAAGATCACATCATCAGAAGTAAAGGTTGGTACAGATGTCCCCAGTTAATTACAGACACTCAAACAAAGTCATGGTTATTCCCTGAATCTTGGACTTGACTATAAAGCATGTGATACCATTGACAGTTGAAAAAAAGGCTATATATTAGGTCAATATACAGTACTTGGCACATATCAATGCTCCATTCTGGTTGCTCTTTTTAAGTACTCACCCATGTAGGAGGGACCGATCAGTCACTTAATGGGTCATGTCACTCAGAGCGGCACTTTAAGGAAGTGACCTCCCCTAAACACCAGAGTAAAAAAAAAAAAAAATCTTATGCCACAAAAAATCTTACTCTTACCTGATTAGAAATCTTTTTGGTTCTCTAATGTAGGAAATGATGTGACGGTTTAATGTTTCCTTCTCTTTACAAATAACTCCATGAAGACAACAACTCAGTCTGCCTGTTTCAGGAGGACTGATTTCAGTTTCCAAAGCACAGATGGAGGACTCATTTCTCCCTATCCCAGGCATGTCCAAAGTTGGTCCTCGAGGGCCGCTGTCCTGTAGGTTTTCAATGTTTCTCGGCTTTAGCACAGCTGATTCTGATGAGTGAGGTTAATCAGCTATCAATGGAAATCAGCTGTGCTGAAGCAGGAATCCTCTAAAAATGCAGACAGCAGACCACGGATACAGACTTTGGAGATGCCTGTCCTATCATGAACAACAGATCTGACCTATCCTAAGATACCACATAGGGGGTTGTTAGCCTAGTGGTTAGAGCAGTGTGCTTTTGCTCTGAGAAGGTTGCAAGTACCAAATTCGATCCCTGCAGCCTCCACTCTGGGTCTCTGAGCAAGACCCTTAACCCACACAGTACCCACACTGCTCCCTGGGTGCCGCACAGTGGCAGCCCACTGCTCCCCAAAGGGATGAGTTAAATGCAGAGAGTTCATTTCTCCATTTAAAGTTCTATTTCAAGAGTAATTATTAATTATTAATTATTGTACTGTGGCTGTTACTGTGTATAATACTTCAGCATTGCTTTTAAGACTTTTTTTTGTGAAATAAATCCCAAAATGGGTAGTTTTATAATAATTTCTACCATGTTTCCTTGCAGATACTAGGTCTCCAGGCTTTTAGTTTAGACCACTTGGGGGAAAAATACTTCTTTATTTCCTATCATCATTTATGCTTTTCTTGAAAAAGCTGAAGCTATCTTCTTCTGCTGTTTTGGTAATAAAATACCTAGTTGTATTTTCTTGAGATCCCGACCTGACAAGGGGGATAATTCCTGACTTTGATTATTCAATCCAAAAGAATTTTTTTTCATATTAATATTTCATATAGATCATTTAAATATTTAAAAATCACATTATAAAACTAAAATTATAGAGTGACGATATATTTTTGAAAATATTTAAACATGCTTTAAAAACAAATACAAAAGCAAACAGACAAAAGAACGCAGTTTCAAGCTACTGAAGCATAAAATAAGCTCAGCCAGAAGAGTTTTCCTGGTGGTCATTTTGTTATTCAGTCCAGCCTCACTTATTCTATTCAAATATAATAAATCACTGCCCAGTGCTGAAACATTAGTACTCAAAGTTATAAGGAGTCATATGCAATGTCCATATGGCTTCTAATAGATTAAATAATTTATTAAGGCATACTTTTTTGTAAGATTTCAAGTGAAAAAAAGTATTTAGGAGTACAATAAACAAAGCATGAAGACACTGTGTCTCTAAGATGTGAAATGATTG